TTAAAAAATTAGAAAAAGCCCAAGAATTTTGGGATGTTAAAATGCTTGATTTAGGGAAATCATTTCCCTACAGTGAGGCTTCCTGTTTCACCAAACGACTGAAAAAGATTCATTATAAATAAAAACGAGGGGAGAGATTAAAAAAAAGAACCACTTCAAAAAAGGGGGAAAGCATTCAAGTAGAAAAGAAAAAATCCATACCTTTCGGCCTTCAAACCGAAGATCAACGTCATGAGAAGTTTCATCCCGTAGTCGAAAAGGATATACTTTGGAGACATCACCATCGGAAGTTGGTTTTCACAACGAAGGAAGGTAGAATCTTCGGTTTTGCTTGTTAGATCTAGACACCCATGTTGGGTTTTATGTAAAAGTGACATAAGATTCAAGTTTATGAGGGAAAAAGGATCATATTAGGTTTGTTTTGGATTTTTCGACCATAGGTGGCAGTGACCACCGGTGGTTGTCAGCGTCGGTGAATTGTCCTCTCTCTCTTATTTGGAAAATATCAAAGTTGAGAGATTTTTTCTTTTTTTCTGAGAGGCAGTAGATAGGCAAATAAATGAGAGAGTGTTTCTAAAATATTAATTTTAAGGTTTTATTAAAACGTGAAACGATATAGTTTTGGGTTAGGGCAACAATGCCAAACTTTAGGAGTTATTTATGGGAGTAAGGCCTCAATTTTTGTAATACTACATTTTAATCACTGAAAGAAACTAAAGTTTCTTTCTACTTTGAGCCTTAAGTATTATTCTGTTTACATAGGCAATTGTTTACTTTTGAATGTGCTTTGGTTAAATATCTTATCTAGATTATTAATTTTGAACTTACTATATTTTAGTCATCCAAACTTATTATACATTAAAATATGTAATTTATGCTTTAGATCCTTTTATGTATGCTACATGTTTGTTTTGGTCACCATTTTAATGAAGTTATAACGTAAATAAATTGGATTAATACCTTAATGGTTCTTTGTTCCTTTATTTATTTGGATTAGATCCTATATGAATGTTTTATACTTTAACTAACTATGTATATATAACATAAAAAAATTTAGCTTGTTTTTATATATATTATTATATATATATATATATATATATATATATATATATATATATATAAAGAATACACTTTTAAAATCATGTGTCAAGGTTATTATTTTACTTTAGTAATATATTTATATATTTTATTAGTTTGTATTCATTTAAAAATACTTACATATGTATTTTATTTTTTAGTTGTTTTGTGTTTATTATTTTATTATTCATTATTCACTTATGTTACAAATGTATTTCATCCTAATGTTTTTCATTATAATTTATTATTAATTGAATACAATTATTATTGGTATTTTAATGAATTATTTGTAATTTTAATCTTATGCAGGTGACCTTTGATAAAATTTCAAGAAAAATAAAATTAAAAGAAATTTTATTAGTAATTGGAAAAAAAATACCTTTTTGAATTACCTTACTAGAGAACGCTGAAATTGAGAAACAATTTGGATGTTCTGCACATTGAAAAAAATATTTGTGATAATAGGCTTGAGACATTATTGAACTTTGAGGGTAAAACAATAGATAACATCAATGCTTGTTTTTATTTAGAGTGCATGGGCATACGACCTGAGCTTCATGCTACTGCTACCTATGGTGGAAGGTATGTATTTCGCCATGCATGTTATACAATGTCAAAATATGAAAAACAACTCTTTTGTCAATTTGTGAAAGTTGTCAAAATTTTCGGACGGCTATTCTTTCAACACCAACACCTCTCTTTGTTTGAATTTAAATGACTACAAAATTTCTGAAATGAAGTGTCATGATTGTCATGTATTTTTGCATCGATATCTCCCATTCAGCTCTACTTGGTTTATTGTATAAAGAGGTATTTGAAGTACTAATTGAGTTAAGTGCTTATATAAGTGATTTGTGTACTAAAACATTACATGTCAAAGACTTGGATAGACTTGAACAATCAATACCTTAAAATCTGTGCAAGTTAAAGAATATATATATATATATATATAATGGTATATTTAATAGTTCATTTAGCAAGCGAGGCAAAAGTTGCAAGACCAGTACAATTTCTATGGATGTATTCTATTGAATTATTCTTATGTAAATTGAAGTCTTATGTGAGAAACAAGACTTGTCTAGAAGGTTCAATTGCTGAAGCATACATCATGCAAGAATGCGTACATTTTTATTCTAGGTATTTATGTGAAACTAAAACTAGCTTGAATCGTGTTAGAAGATTTTTTGAAGAAAATGATAGCAATTCACACCCAAGACTACATGTCTTCTCTCAAGTTGGTCGGCCACTACCTAGAAAAACAATATGAAGAGTTAAGTTTGATAGAATGAGCTCAAGTTAGGATGTATGTTCTACAAAATTGTGAAGAAATTAGAGAATTTGTTGAGCAAGTAAATCTAGCATCGGCATTAGTTTGTAATTTTTTATATGCTATACATATTTTATTTTTTCTTATCTTTGATTTCTTATAAATTTTGAAGCATGCACAAGGAAAAGTTTAAGAGGTATGATACTAAAAATATAGAGAAAAGCACGCCAAAAAATTTCATCAGTGGTTTAAAAAACATGTAAGCATTAAATATATTGTCTAATTATATTTCTAATATCTTTTTTTATTATATTTAATGATTGTTGCTTAAAATAGGTCTATTAATTGCGTGATGAATGAAGTGAATTGATGAACAACTAACCACTTAATTTAGCTTGTGGACACGAAAACGAGTTTTTCTCTATACAACTTATATTATCAATGGTTAGAGGTTTAACACAGGAACAAAACTTGCTATTAAAATCATAAAATAGTGGAATTCTTGTCAAAGGGGATGAGAATATAGGTGACTTAGATTATTTTGGTGTGTTACCAAACATCATACAATTAAATTACACTGGTAAAAATAATGTAGTCTTGTTTAAGTGTGACTAGTGGGATGTGTATCATAAAGCGGGATTTAAAGAAGATAAGTTTGGTTTTCTATGGTTAATGTGACACGTAAGTTGAGAACTCGTGAGTCATGTATTTTGACCTCTCAAACTGAACAACTTTACTATGGTAATAATATTAAAGATCCAAATTGAAAAGTTATGGTGAAGATAAAACCACGTGATTTGTATGATTTACCTCTTGATGATGTAATAGAGGATACATGCCAAGAAAACGAGGATTTAGGCTTTAGATTTTATGAATCTAACGTTGACATTGATGATGATGATGATATGATATCTTTGGATATACCTCAAATGGGCACTACAATTGTTGAAGGAAGTTTGCTTAATCTTGACGTGATAGGTGTTGAGGATGAAGGAGATGAATCTAATCCGATGAATTTACTTTTATTAATGGTGAAGATAATGAGTTAGATTCAATAAGTTATGTTCAAGTAGATAATGATGATGATAATTGAACATATTTTAAGTTTATTTTTAAGTTTTAGTACTCTTAGATTTTTTCTTTCATATTTTGTTATAATATTTTTATGAAATAAAATATTTTATTTATTTATATACTTTACTATAATATATTTAAATTTTTACATTATGATTAGAAAAATATTAATATTTTATTAAATTTAAAATAATTTAATTAATAATTAATAAAATATTGTAAAAATTAATATTACAATAAAAATATTTGTTATCTATACAAATTATTACTATAATAAAATACAATTATTTGATTATAAAAAAATCAATTTAATAATACATAATCTTATTGTGACAATCATGATTGATAATAAATTAATAATGACGACTTTACAATCATATCATCATTATATCATTTTTATAAAAATGTTATTCTAATTTTAGTATTTAATTGGAGACAAACTTTTAAATAACAAGTAGGCTTAGTTAAAATTATAAACACAAGTATGCACTACAAGAAAATATACCTTTAATGACACACGAACGATGACACACGCTAATTTATGTCTTGCAAAACATGTGTGTCATAAAAAAATGTCATGTTTCGTAAAATCTTAACGATTTATGACTTACAATAATGTTTGTCATATTTAATAGTCATAATCCAAAAAATTTAGCAAAATACGGAGTACACTTTTCATTGTGTGTCATCTCTAAATGTCATCTTTTAATCTTCCCCCCATAATTTTCATCTTCACTTCTTTTCGGTCTCTTTTTCCAGTCTATTTCCCTCTCTCCATGTACCCTTTCAAACTCTTCAAATACCAGCAAAAAATTCCCCCTCCCTTCCGCATTATCATTCTCTCGTAGCCCTTTCTCTTCTATTCTCTTCTCTTCTCTTCTCATTTTTCTTCAAAATCAGTTTCCTTTGTTTCGTTTCTGGGGGTTCTGTTCAGCAATGGCGAAGGCTAATGTCGAGAAGGTGAAGCGGCTAAGAGCTTGGGTTCAAAACTACGATTGGGGAAGATGTGGAACGGAGGCACAGGTGGAGAGGCTTTTGGCTTTGAATTCTGGGTCTGAGATTAAGCCTGATAGGCCATATGCTGAGTTTTGGATGGGAACCCATGACTCAGGGCCAAGTTTTATGGCTGATGACAATGGAGAAGGTGGGAATTTGGGTTTAAAAGATTGGATTTTGAAGAATCCGAATGTGTTTGGTCACAAGGTTTTGAAAAAATGGGGGCCTGATCTTCGTTTTCTGTTCAAGGTTTGTTCTTTTCTTTTACACGTATTTCTCTACTTTCTTTTTGGGGATTTCTTTTTTTTTTTCTCATTTCCTTTGATTACTGGAAAATTGAATTTTGATTTTTTGTGCATGTGTTTGGAATTGGGTTAATGAGTTTTCTTTTTCATTTTAATGGTAATGACCAGAACCTTTGCTTCAATATTCATGGAAATTGAATTCTCACTATTCATCTAAAGTTTCCATTTTTACCATTTTTGTGATGTCCATTATTATTTCCCCCTCTGCTTCTTTTGGTATTTAGAACTTTTGACAGTATAAACAAGAGTATCTTTCAAGAAATAGATGCTACAACATCGTACAAAGAAATACGCCGACGAGATCCGTATGGTCACCATCACCTCTCCTTTATTTTTGATTTGGCACTTAAATGTTCCATTTCTTGATCTATGTTATTCTTTGGTGCATGGAGTAGGTCATTCTCTTTGCCAGAATTTGTGGCAGAAGTTCAAGAAGCAATTAGACCAGTCTTTAATGCATATATAAAAGTAAGGGGTTTATTTGGCTTATATTCTAGTGTTCTATATTTTCAAATAAAAAGTGTCTCGGGTACTGGCTGCCTCTATAATATATATAACTTTATACGCACAGGGAGATGTTGAAACTTTGAAGAAGTATTGTAGTCCTGAAGTTATTGATAGGTGCAAAGCTGAACATACTGCTTATCAGAGCCATGGTATATTTTTTGATAACAAGGTAAGACTGACTATTCTATGTAATGTAACATTGTAAGCCCTATCATATGGTACATGATAAGACATATCAAGTTTTTCGCTGTTTATTGTAACAAAAATCGGTAAGAAAGCATGTACCTTTAATAACCAAGTTTGGTTATAGATGATAATGGCCTTAAATACGTCAGCTTGCAGATTGCAGTTGAGATTATTGGGTTGTAAATGTCATGTTGAGTTATATTCTTGATATGGAATGGTGTTACTAATTTCACCTACTTTTACTGCAGATTCTACATATATCTGACGTAGAAGTTAGAGAGACCAAAATGATGGGGACATCCCCCATTATCATAGTGGCAGTACGATCTTCTTGTTCTTTTGATTCAATTTCTTTATTGAATTAAGCCTTTTTAAGGTTTTTGAAACTGATGCTGGTGGCCTTTTTACTTTCAATGTTCACAGTTTCAAACACAACAGATCCACTGCGTACGAGATAGATAGGGTAAAATAACTTTTGGTATTTAGTAATTTCAAGCCTTTCTTTGTCCTGTAATGCTTATTTTCTGTTATTTCCAAATAATGTCTGAAATATCTTTAGGATTGTTGTAGGCTGCCAATATTTGTTTTGTATTAGTTGATAGATGCTTCTTGTTTGTACTAACCATTTTCTTTGATTCTGCCAACTATTGTAATATATATGAAGCAAGTATTTTAGCTGTTCTGCATTTGTTTATGAGAAAATAACCTCAGTGACCAAAAATGTCTTATAATATACGATTTTAACCAACTTTTTTTTGATTTACCAAAATGACCAACTAAATCGCAATGCGATCGATAATTCGCAACGCGATCTCCGGTATCGCAAATCAGTTTCTAGATTCGCAACGCGAACTTCGACTATCGCAACGCGAACTTCAACTATCGCATTGCGATTTACATATTCGCATTGCGATAGTCGAAGTTCGCGTTGCTATTTTCCAAATTCGTTGCGATAGTCCAAGTTCGCGTTGCGATAGTCCAAAATCGCAACGACTGGTGGTATTTCATTTGTTTCTTGAGAATTTTCTCTAAAAAGATAGTATTCGCGCGGACGTGTCGAAGACACGTATTACCACGACCACGACCTGAGACGAGACGAGACGAGATGGACGGCGACGGCGAGCGAGAGTCCCCCTTGTTCTCTATCACTCAACAAGGAAGTGGGAAAGCCAAGCCTTAAATATCATTCCCAATAGTATTTCCAATACTATGTGGGATTGAGCATTACCAACACTTATTCCCAATACTATGTGATTATTTAGGAAACAATTAACAATCATGCACCTTAAAACAACTGAATCAGCAACCAATTGCATTAGTATTATACGATTAAATATGTCATAATTAAAAGTCAATCTACAATCAATCGCGATTATTGCAATTTTAAACAAAACATTCAAAAAAAATTGCATCACTCGCGAGAATAAAAAAAATTGTTATCGTGCAATTACAATCAATTGAAAATAAATTAGAATTGCATGAAAACTAAACGAACCATAAATACTTTTCATACAAATACTAAAGTCATTAACTATAATTCACAAATAATATCACTATTTAAGGCTCAATCCCACATAGTATTGGGGACAAGTGTTGGTAATGCTCAATCCCACATAGTATTGGAAACACTATTGGGAATGGTATTTAAGTCTTGGCTTTCCCACTTCCTTGTTGAGTGATAGAGAACAAGGGGGACTCTCGCGCGCCACCGCCGTCGTCTGTCTCGTCTCGTCTCGTGGTCGTGGTCGTGGTAATACGTGTCTTCAACACGTCCGCGTGAATACTATCTTTTTAGAAAAAATTCTTAAGAAACAAATGCAATACCACCAGTCGTTGCGATTTTGGACTATCCCAACGAATTTGGAATAAATCGCAACGTGAACTTGGAATAAATCGCAACGCGAACTTCGACTATCGCAACGAAATTAGACTACCGCAACGCGAACTTGGACTATCCCAACGAATTTGGAATAAATCACAACGCGAACTTGGACTATCGCAACAAATTTGGAAAATCGCATTGCGATAGTCCAAGGGTGTTTTGAAGCTTGGGTTGTGTGTTATAGTGCAATATATAATATAATCTTTTACTTTGTAACATGCCCTAACTTGATTCCAACTGCTGTGCCCAAAAAAATATTAAAGGATGGTACATTATATACTCTTGTATGATTTTTAGAAAGTTCTAGATCTGATATCATGCATTTTGTTTAGCCTGTAATGTGTTATAGCCCTTTCCTTTCAAATGATGTAATTCGATGTTCTAGTCACCCCACTCAGTCTTTCAACTTGCAAAAATAACTTGAAGTAGTTGGAGTTACTCAGAAAAAAGGCATATACGTTTATTCAAAAATAAGTCTATTGTCACTCTTACAATTATGGGGTCAAAGTTATCTTTTAATCAAAACAAGTTTTCTGAAATTTGGTTCAGAGCTTTTTGTATTTGCATGTCTCAGTCTATATGCTCATCTCTCTCATTTCTAGGAGAGCATGAAAAATAAAACGAATGACAGCCTCTTTTTATTGCTTGCTTATTTCCATTGGCATTTGTTGATATTTTTTTTCTTCACTCTCAACCTTGATGCTTCTAAACCCTATAGAAAACTATTGTTAAAGATGGTAGCTAAATTTAGGTGCTCTAATGACTTCTAAACTTTTGCAGACAGCATCTGAAACAAAGTTGAAGGTTGAACTAGTCTTTGGTTGATCAAACTTTTATCCTCCCAAATTGTAAAAGGCAGAGTTTGCAGTTCTGGTATGACTGGTTTTGCCTTTCATTGTTGGTGATTTCCCCTTATTCCAAATCATTTAGTTCATCAGTTGTGTTGATATTTGATTCTCAATGATATTGTGTGGTCCCTTTGTTTCCATCACAAGAAGTGGGAAAAGCATTAGGCACTGACCTGGGCATAACTGAGACACATAACCTTATTTTTTGTTATACTTTAGTAAATGTTTTGTGCAACAATTACATTTTTTCCTATTGCACTGCTTGCTCATATGTACTACGTATATCACAACCCCCTGCGCTTTCTTTAGTTTTTTTTTCTGTTGGTATACTATAGTCTGAACTATAGTTGTAGGTTAGCAATTAGCATTAGATACCTCAGCAACCCTCCTCTCCTCTCCCCCTGGATATTCTTGATGATTCCATGTAAGAGTAGTAGTTAAAAACATTATGTTGTTGTATTTGATATGAGGTAGCTTTTCAGTTTTCTTTACATATCAGTATGACATTTCTTTTTTGTGCTTTGTTTGCACTAATCTTTCCACGCCATCTTCATGGTAAGTTGGGATTGTAGATGTTTGATATAGGACCGATGATAACATTTCATATGGTGATGTGTTCTGCAAATTGTTTATATGATATGGAGCTTATTATGTATTGGCTGTGCAAAATTTTGACATCTTTTTTTACTTTGCTTACCATTTGTTGATATTGTTTTTGCATATTCTAAGCATCCTCATTTTTTTTATTGTCAATACAGGTTTGACAACACTGCCTATTTGCACATATCTGTGGCTTTTATCCATATGCTCAAAGCTCTAAGTATGTGGAAACAAAGTGCATTATTGTATATATATAATGGTTATATGTTCTTTCTCAATGTCGTATTTTCTTTGTTTTCTTTGACTAATCGTTTATTGTAAACTATTTGTAGTGTGAATATATTGTATACAAATGTATTGTTTATATATAATATGATATATATATTTAGTATTACGAGGCATTAAATGTGATTTAGTTTGATTATTTGTCAATCTACAATATATATATATATATATAATTCACTAAATACAATCACGACACATGAATGTGAGTCATTTTCATTTATGACGAGGGCTTCAATGACACGCAATGTAAGTAAGTTATATATGCGTGTTATAAATTTATGACACACAAATATGTGTCATCTTCATTTATGACGAGGGCTTCAATGACGCGCAATGTAATTCATAAATGCGCGTCATAAATGTGTGTCATAAATGCACGTCATAAATTTATGACGCGCAATGCGCGTCATTAAAGGGGTTTTTTCTACTAGTGAGGCTTAGTTAAAATTATAAACACAAGTAGGCTTAGTTAAAATTATAAACACAAGTAGGCTTAGTTAAAATTATAAACACAAGTAGGCTTAGTTAAAATTATAAACATACGGTGATGGTTTACTTGTGATGTAATGTTTTTGAAATTATCATAATTACATCATTATGTAAGGTAAATTTTTATAATTACATAATTTTATTGTCTCAATTATGATTAATTATAATGACTACTGTCACTACGTCACTATTACATCACTTTCCCGAGAAAAAAGAATTTAGCCTCAATTTTAGGATTTTATTAGTGGCAAAAATGATAGTGATAAGTATATTTGATCACAATTATGAAGCTACAATGACAATATAGATGTTACGTAATTAAGATTGTCACAAGTTACCATTATAAAATGATAAATTTACTAGTTACAAACTATTATTGTCACAATTATGAATAATAGTAATGACTACTTAATATATTGTAACTATTATCTTGTTTCTCGTGAATAATAATTGGTGTCAATTCGAGCATTTCATCAATGACCAAATAAAAATATGTCACAATTACTCATTTAGTAGTGACAAAAATAATTTTCGTAACAAATCACTGACTAAGCCTTGTGACAAAATGTTGTCACAATTATAGATAATAATAGTGACACCTTTATATGTTATTATTAATAAATCTTTTCCCATGAAAAATAAGATGTCGCCAATTAAATCACTTCATTAGTGAAAAATTGATTATGCCAACTTGCTTTGGTTACAACTAAACACTATTAGTGATGAGTTACTTGGAATGCAATTTTAAATTGTCATAATTATTACCAAATGATTGACCAAATAAATATTTGTCAAAATTACTCCTTTCATTGGTGACCTAAATAATTTCATAACAAATCATCCACTAAACATGCTGACAAAATATTTTCATCAAAATTATGGATAATAATAGTGACTATTTAATATTTTGTCACTATTACATCTTTTCTGTAACACTCTAATCCAGTATGACCCAAAGATCGATGGTTTATGATGTCATACGGGACCACCGAAGTGGCTAACCTAAAATTTTCTTTTTTAAAAAACGATTGTAAATCATTATATAAAAAGTCATCCACAACAATATAAAATAAAATGTAATTTATATGAGTTTACAACTACGAGGGAGCTCCCAAATATCCAAAATAATATCAATACTGAGTTTAGTACAAAAACAAAGTTACAATTGAATACAAAAAGTGTCTAATATAGTACATGCCCTCTAACATAAATCAAGACGTACTCTGAAGCCTCGGTTGATCTGGAATATCTGATTACGAAAACGCTCATGGATGGTCTCCTAAGAACCTGTGCACTGAAACATATTCCCAATGTTGAGCTTACGAGCTCAGTTCCACGTTAATAATTGTATTGTACTACATGCATTCAC